TAAAAATCAATGGAAAAAGGTTGTTAATCTGAGGACTTTGAAGATAGGGAAGATTATCCTAGATCAGTGATGGCGAACCTATGACACGCGTATCAGAGGTGACACGCGAACTCATTTTTTTGGTTGATTTTTCTTTGTTAAATGGCATTTAAATATATAAAATAAATATCAAAAATATAAGTCTTTGTTTTACTATGGTTGCAAATATCAAAAAATTTCTATATGTGACACGGCACCAGAGTTAAGTTAGGGTTTTTCAAAATGCTGACTCGCCGAGCTCAAAAGGTTCGCCATCACTGTCCTAGATTGTCCAGATGGGCCCAAAGTAACTACAAGTTTCTTTAAAAATAGAAGAGAGAGTCAGAGTGTTGAGAATACAGCTAAACTGTTCCATAATATTGCTGCCTCTGCATCCATTTTGTGTGGCTGAGCAGCCTACAGGGGCCTTGAACTGACTAGCCTCTCTGTCAAGTGCCTGGCCTACATAGCAGCCCAAGCATTAGATAAGAGAACCACAAGTATCCACAGGTGCATATGACTTTCCAATGCACCTGGTGATAAACAGTCTCTCCTGCTTCCCAACTATTTCCTTTGTGCACCCCTTTGAATAATACCTGCATGGAGCTTAACAAAACTAGGATCCTTTTGGTTTGAATTGACCGATCTGGCTTTAGTCTGGGAACCCCAAAAGCGTTCCTCTTGTAGATCCTAATAAAGACATGTACCCCAGGTCCTGCTCCTCACTCACTGCCTGCAACTTGATCTCCCCAGTCGTAAGGTGTACCTCCTCTAGGACCTGTGAGTAATAAACTTTCCTATTTCACTTTCCCTTGGGATCTTTGCTGAACCCTGGCTCAACACCCCAGGGTTCTACTTAACAAAAACCACAAGATAGAGGAGAGAAAACTAGAGAGACTGCAGTCTGAGAATGTCCCAATCAGACATTGCTGGTTTTGAAGATGGAGGAATGGGGCCATGAGCCAAGAAATATAAGCAGGCTCTGGAAGTTGGAAAAGGCAAGGCAACCGAGTGTCTCCTAGAGCCTCCAGAAAGGATGCGGCCTTGCTGACACTTTGATTTTGGCTGAGTGAGGCCCATTTAATTTCTAACCTCCAGAACTGTAAGATAATAAATTTGTGTTGTTTTAAGCCACTAAGTTTGTTGTAACTTGTTACAGCTGTGATAGCAAACTATTATATTTACCATGCTCAGCTTCTGTAAGTTAACTGCCAACATCTCCAGCAAATCTTTGTTTTCATTTTTTTTAGGGGATAGCACCACCATATACATAGTTATCCAAGTGGGAGACATCCTTGACCTCTACCGCTCTCCCACAAGTAATTCATCACCAACTCCTTTCAGTTCCTTCTACCTCTAAAATAACTCCCCCATTCCATTGCATCTCTCTGCAACTGACTCTTTCTAGGCTACAACTTTGAACTGTTAGAATGACTATGTACCAGTGGTGTTCTGTACTCTAAGTCTATTCTCCACACTTTCAGATATATCATATAATGTATGTGTGTATGTATATGTATGACACACACACACACACACACACACACACTCACATTAAATTGCAATCCCCAGGAAGAACTACATTTCACATCAAGATCTAGGACACACACACATACTCAGACCAAAAGTTTCACAAAAACGTAATTTCCATACTCTTTTGTAATGTGTGCTATTTCCTATTCTATATAATTTAATCTTAAAACATCCCAGCTACTTCTGACTCACTATAAACTTTTCATAACTGACCAATGGATCATGACCTGTAGTTCAAGAAAACATTTTTCTACCTGGCTACTAGAATGTTCTTTCTAAAATACAATCATTATTTTTCTTTAAATTCTTCAATGGCTTCCCACTACTCTAAGGATAAAGGCTTATATAATCCTCCATTATCCAGCTCTTTTATCACTGTAGCTTCATCTGTTTCTACTCTAACAGGTTCATTTTCATTTTGCAATCCAACCTTACCTACTTACTTTCTGGATGCAGAATGTATCTAGTGTTAGAACACTTCCCCACATAGTCTTGTAGCGAATGCCTGCTCATGCTAACTTCTCAGCTTAGACTTCACTCTCCTCTGGATGCTTTCCCTGGATGCTGGGCCTCGGTTAGGTGCCCCTCCTGTGTGCACACTGGACTTCCTCAATGCAATGTTTATCACCCTGTATTTCAACTATGACAGTGCTATTTAAGAGTACTATTTAAGTACTATTCATGGGTTTTGTTCCCCATAGTATACCTAACAGGCCTTCAGTAAATATTTATTAATAAATGAAGCGATTTAGTGGGTTTCTCATGTTGTTGGATATTTGGTTGTTTTTTTTTTTTAATTTTTATTTTAATCCTCACCTGAGGACTGATCTTAGAGAGAGAGGAATTGGGGAGGTGGGGGGGGAGGGGAGGAGAAACACCAATGTGAGAGGAAATCATTGATTGGCTACCTCCTGTATGCACCCCAGCTGGGGATTAAACTGCAACCTAGGTATGTGACCTAACATGGAATGGAACCCACATTTAAAAACAAATTTTTTTGTATATAGGATGATGCTCCAACTAATTAAGCATTGGTATTTAGTTCTTTCACACCATTGTAACATGTTATAAAATTTTAAAGAAGGCACAAGTATGGAACATTAAACAGTTTCTAGACTTTAGCTTATGTGAAGGTTTCTAGAATTTAGTGATGTGTGAAGTAGCATGGAACGCTGTGTTCAAGGTTCTCTAGATCTCTCATACTGAGACAAAAACTAGCATCTCCAAGTCTTAATTTCCTCATCTGAATTCCAATACCCGTTAACATTTACTCTTGGATATATCCAAGCATCCCCAATTCAATTCATATCACTTACAGGGATAATAATAGCATGCTCTTAGAACTATCGTGAGAAGACAGTGAATTAAATAATAAAATAATACTTGGCAGATTATTTTTTTATCTATTACTAGGGGCCCGGTGCACAAAAATTTGTGCACTCGGGGGGGAGGGGAGGGTTCCTCAGCCCGGCCTGTGCCCTCTCGCAGTCTGGGACCCCTCGGGAGATAACGACCTGCTGGCTTAGGCCTGCTCCCGGGTGGCAGAGGGCAGGCCCAATCCCTAAGTGCAGCCCCTGGTCAGGCTCAGAGCAGGGCCGATTGGGGAGTTGGGGCGCCGCCCCGTCATGCACAGAGCAGGGCGGATCGGGAGGTTGCGATGCCACCCTCAGTCACGCTCAGGGTAGGGCCGATTGGGGGGTTGGGCCCCCGCCCCCTGTCACACTCAAGGCAGGGTCGATGGGGAGGTTGCGGCACCACCCCCTGTCAC